TGGTTAGGATGCCTCCTGGATGCCTTCCTGGTGAGGTGTTCCGGGCAAGTCCCACTGGGGGGAGGCCCCAGGGAAGACCCAGGACACCTGGGAACGCCTTGGGGTTCCTCCTGAGGGGCTAGAAGAAGTGGCTGATGAGAGGGAAGTCTGGGCCTCCCTTCTTAAGCTGCTGCCCCCGCGACCCGACCCCGGATAAGCGGAGGAAGATGGATGGATGGATTTGCACATTTTTCCCTCTTACTGAATGACCATCGAGTCAATTACTATGCTCTTTCATTAGACTTGGTACAAGAGAGATATTCTATCTGCTTCCAGAATTTGGCTTGGTGATTAAGAATTAGATACATTATATGTAGATGTTTGATTTTCATTTCTCCTAGTTTGAGCAGTGCATTTAGAAATTCCTCTCCCCAGACACCGAAGCCAGCTTCACTGGGTGAAGTCGAGTGACATTGTCCCTATAGCAAGTTGCCGTCCAATGGGCTTGCTCCCAGTATGTTCCTGAAACACCACCCTGAGGTCTTGAGGCATCCAAAAAATATTTCTGAGCCACTTCACTTGACTTCTCTGGATTTGGAGGAGAGGGTCTTTACACAGAGCTTCTGTTGGAGAAACAAGCTCCTCATCCTATCTACTGTATAAGGTAATATATGCTACCCTTTGGGGGAAGCTCATTTCTGCTGCTTGTATCCAGGATTTCAGTTTTTTTTTGTCAAGATCCAAATTATATCCCCATAAGGGGAGGGTAGAAATGTAGACCAACCAGTAAATCGAGAGCTTTTCCTTTTGGCTCAGCTCACCAAAAGAGACCAGTGCAGTGTCTGCATTATATCAATTTCCCACCCATTGTCCCTCCAGTCATGAAAAGCACCCTAATATACGTCACCTTTTCTACTTGAGGCAGGAACTCCCCTCCAACCTGAAGGAAACAAGCCACCTTTTTTTTTGGTCGAGGACAATGGCCTCAGACTTGGAGGAGCTATTCCTCAGGGATTTCATCAGGGATGAAAACTGTTGGTCCCCAAACCCTACCCCTCCAGCCCTTGGCTGTGCCTAGAAATCCTGTTCATAAAGGTTATGAGCAGAACTAGATGGGGTTCCTCCAAGATGCAACTGGAACTGGTCGGACTTAATGACTGCTTGTTCAGAAACCAGGTGACCCATAGTGAAAAGTAGAGATTATCCAGAATTTCACTGCCTGCAAGAAAACCATACTGCTCCTCCTGAAGCCAAGGTCAGACAAACAGCTGGATTCTCCTCCTCCTAGGCCTTCCTGGAAAGGCTAAGACGTGTGATCCCCTTGTAATTGGAACATGCACTCCAGCAATCCTTTTTTGGAGGGGAAACAACACCCCTGTCCTTAAGTCCAGCGGACAGTGCCAGTGGATTGGTTTGGTGGTTTAGAGAGGTGGTACCGTCATATGCCACTGCATATGGAAGGAAAATCATTGGACCGTGTTTACACTTTCAGAAACTTTCATCAGAACTTTATAAATTTCTCAGGAGAAAAACAAAATCCCTGGATGGCTGAACAGAGAAGGTTGGCAAATAATGGAGATTCTGAAAAAACATCCAAACATCTCTTCAGGATACAAGCCAAAAACCTCCTGGTGATGCTAAGGTTCATAATGATCTGAATTGTGGCTTTCATCTAACAGTTATTAAAGAGAATAGGTTTGGAGATTTTAAAACTCCTTCAATAATACATAGTATATGCCACTTTATAAGAGAAGATCTGCAAGGTTGGTTTCAGATTACAGACTGGGATGCACTGTGTCAGCTAAATAGAGAGGACATCAATGCAATGACTGAGTGTCTGACTGATTACATAAATATAAAACTACTTAACACCATTCCTACTTTACCAGAACAGTAAAATAAACCATAGATCACACATGATCTGAAGCAACTGCTTATCAAGAAAAAAAACAAGCCTTCAACATAGACTTAGACAGACTTGTCATTTTGTACACACAGAGTGTATACAAAAAGAAATGCCCTTTAGTACAGCTTCCAAGACATACATTTTTTAAAGTTCAGCAGAGATAAAATTCAAACATAAGACTGGTATATGATTTAAAGATTCCAACATTCAGTGTTTTGTTATTTTTTAATGTTAAACCCCATTTTAAACAATATTTAGCAGTCCAATGGCGGTGGGGAGAATCTGTTCTGGAATCTGCTGGACCTGAATCGGATGCTTCCCAGAGGGGAGCACGGAGAACAATCCATGGTTGGGGTGTTCAAGATGGGAGACAGGGAATTAATGAGGAGTACATAGCAGGAACTTACAATCAAGATAAGAGAAACCTACGGGAAGAAGGTGGCACCTAACGGAGAGAGTGGTGGCCTAGTGGTAAGGGCATTAGGTTTGGGTCCCAGAGGTCCCACTCCCACGGACTGCCACTCTGGGTCCCTGAACAAGACCCCTAACCCAACGCTGCTCCCCGGGCGCCACACAATGGCAGACCTTTGCTCCCCAATGGATGGGTTAAATGCACAGAGTTAATTTCGTTGCTTCAAAAGTATTCATGTGGCCTTGCATTTTTTATATGTTGTGGGTCTGGAATAGGATTCCGTGTCACAAAAATTGAACTTTTCAGGTTAAGGATCTTTAGTGAGATCCTTGTGAATGAGAGATATTCTTATTATTGACAATTATAATGTATGTGAAATTAAAGCAACATTTTGAGAAGGTAGGCAATATTTTTAAACAAGCATCGCAAACTGCTGTGAATTCTTCTTAGCTGATATTAGGCAGCTTCCATTTCAAGTTCGCAGACTGGGCATTGAAACTAGGAAAGGAAAATGAAAACACACAGGAACTATTCTGGGGGTGTTGAAAGGTTGGAACCAGTTCCAGTCGGTTCTCTATATACAATCCTATACAAAAGGAAAATGTGTCTTGCTTCTACTAGTAGTGTGTTCAAGCCTGCTATGTTCCATTTTCATCCCCAGATGAAAGGCCAAAGCTATACCTTCCTCAAATTTCATTGGTCAAAGACTTATCATTAGACAAAGTTTTACTTTAAAAAAATTAAAGGGTTAGTCTGTGGACCAAAATAGTGATTTGTTGCCTGAAGGCATGACCATGCCATAAAGGGCTAACCCTCACCAAAAATGTCCGGCAGGCAACTCTGGAGGAGCTGCTAAAAAAACAAGATTACTGTTAGTAATGCTCTCTTCAAATCTGGACTTTATAAGAGAGCAGCAAGAGGAAATACACATTATATTTGAAGTTGAAGAAGATCATGTGTTGAAATGAACATTCCTTTAAGACCGTAGTGCTATATTACGTATAAAATAAGTAGTGACAGATATGCAGCTTAAAGCTTTATGTTAAATGAACTGGCAAGACAACCATCCTGCTTACTCATCTTATAGGCCAACCATTACTCTAAGTTGATGGGTGCAACTGTTGTGTTACAGTACAGTAAACTATTTTGTATAGTATGTAAATGTTTTACAAACGTGGGCCCTTGTGTCACTTACAGTACGTTACTCCTTTTTCTTTTCTTTTTGGAATCTTTGGAAGTTCCTGGCCAGCGTGGTGAACATGTCCCTCTTTGTGTAGCCATAGGTAACCTGGGGTTTCTCCACCTGCATGCAAACTTGGGGCCATATAACACAAACCATCTCCTGACCTTTCTTGGAGGTCTTCTGGATTTTATGATTGCATGTGAACTTCGGGATCAACAATCAGGGCATCCTGTGTATGTCATAGTTTAGGACAATATTAATTTTCACCACGCTGCCCTGATACACATGCGCTTCACCAACAATCAATACTTCATCAATGGTTTTCCTTCGACCTTAGAGCCCCTTCCTGAACCCAATAGAGGGGTTATTATCTATATTATAGTGAAAAGTCTATGACTGACAGCCCTATACTGCAATGGAACAGGTGTGTAATGATATAATTGTTGAGTCTTGTAAAGGTTGGGTTCTGCACACCACAGAGTCTGTTACCCATTGTTTGGGAAAGGAAAATATAGCCTGAGATGTGGATGAATCCTCCTGCTTAACCCCTCACTAAGACAAGTTTTTTGTTTTTTCCTTTTTTCTTTTCCTTATATATGTAAAGTTTTCATTTTGTTTTAAGGTCTTCCATATGTAATGAATATATAATGAACCTTTTCAGTTACTTTACTGTATTGATTGGTGTTTCTAAAATAATGTTCTGTAGTGTCTGTCTAATGAAGACTCTTTAGTAAATCTGTTTTTACTTGCTGTGTGTATGAATTGATCACATTCATTGATTTTTACTACATGAGAGCTGGTTTTGAGGTAAAGGTAGACAGGATAAAGCCTCTAACCATGGATTTATATAACCCAAAACCCCACACTTTATGGGTTGCTATTTGAGTTCATAATTTGATAACTTGTAATAAAGACCTTGGATGATACTATATCCATAAAACTTAGAATTATAATAAGTATATTACATCAAGACAAGTTGCTGAATGCACTATGCATTCCAGTATAATATGTTAAACTTTTCTATAGAAATTCATCTCCTTTTCAAGGAAAGAGGCACAGAGCATAGGAAGTTGAAGACTGCATTCAGGACCATGGACAGAGAACCTGAAAATAGCTGTATTTTCGTTTTAGTTATTGAATTTTTTTTAAGGTAAAAATATAGGTGTGGTGTAAAAAATAAATAACTGGTATTATTGTAAAAGTGTAGGTTTAGTCATTCTGTAAATTTAAGTTTAGAGAGATAGAAAAGTATAAGCTCTTTTATATTAAGCTATTTTTTTTATTTTATTATTATTATTTTTTTTAAACTATTGTTTCTTTAAAGTGTGGTTAAAATGCCCCAAAACCCTGAGCATCTCTGTTGGACAACTACGAGTTGGTTAGAAGGCGGATCTGGAAACAGCGAATGGAAAGACCCCCCACCCACAATACCTTACTATTCTCCTAAACTTTCTTTCGGCGTCCTCTCTCCTTTTTTCTTGAAAACTTTAACCCACACTTAGCACGTATGGGGAGACCCCTTTTTCTTTCTGGGTAACACGGACACAGGATTCTTGTTTTAATTAATCCTTATCTGGATCTACCGCTGGCATCAACAGCAGCACCACTGCTGCCTCTTGATGTTGTGATCGCTAATGCGCATGCGCCCGGAATTGGAATTACTGCACTGGCGAGAACAACTTAGACCTCGTCAAGACTTCAAAAAAATAAGAAAATAGCATAATTGAAGAATGGAAGCCTTTGTGGTAAGAGGGACGAGCACGACGTGTTCCTTGTTGATCTTTTTTATGGCAGCTTTGATGCGCGCTCAAAGGTAAGTGAAAGGGAGTCGGAGGATGCTCCACTCATTTTATTAAGTGTGACTGTCTCTCAAGCGGGATGCAAAACATTTAACGTCTATTGAACAGCAGTTCGCCGTCTCTGAACCTCTGCTTTCTTTCTCTTCTTCCTGCATAGTGGCAGTGTCAACGACCCTAGCAATATGCCTTTGGTCAAAGAAACGGTGGACAGACTGTTAAAGGGTTATGATATACGACTGAGACCAGATTTTGGAGGTAAATTTCCTCCTAAAATAAACATTGTGTCAGTTTCAGCAGTGTCAGGTGGTAACAACTTTGATTTACAATAAGTATCGGTAATCCATTATTTTTTGCGTTTGAAAGATAGCTATTTTATTTGTATGACAACCTACAGTCTAATAAAAAAGAAACATCCTGGTATAATCATCTAATAAATAAGTTATGTGGCCCAGGTACGATCATTATAATGATATAAATGATTAAAGTACTACAAATTTAAGTGCTCTTGTTTCTTTTTAATATTGATTAATTGAAAAAAAAAAAATTAGAGAAGGCTTTAATGTTCAGGAGACTGCAGGTCAGCACATCCTATAACCCTGAAGTGTTATAGCTTTTTTAAATTTGTTTTAAATTTACACGCATTTTAAAAAAATTGTTTCAGCCTATGAAAATTCATCAAACAAATAAATTGTTTGATTCCCTTAAAGTGACATCTAACCTACAGTGTGTCTTGATGTTTTTTGCGTTTTTGATCACCAGGTCCTCCAGTTGGAGTGGGAATGAATATAGACATAGCCAGCATAGATATGGTATCCGAAGTCAACATGGTAAGTAGCCCACCAAAACATTTAGTTTCAAGACAGTAGTACCCATGGACTTTAATAACCCTCTGAGGGAAATACCCTCCCATAAGGCACTGGGAAAGCCCTTGTTTTAGAGGGACTTGTGTTACACTGATCTCAGTTTAGGACTTAAAGACCACATAAAGAGGTGATTACTTGATTTTGTTGTTCTTGTCTTCATTTAAAAGTCCTTGTTAAAAACGGAAATTTTACTTTCGTTTCTGCCCCTTTATATGTGAATCATTTCAAGAGTGTCCACCTTTATAAAATCAATCATTTTAAAGAGTTCATTTGCCAGCCTTTCATTATGTGTCAAGCAAATGCTGATGAAGACTAATTTTATATTTTGTCTCATTGACGATGTCGACAATATCATATCTGTTTCTCAAGAAGTGGTGAAGGTGGATAATCATGAATATTGCATGAAGGACCATTGGAGATTAAGTTTCATACAAGTGCGCCTCCCGGTGTTGAGATGGTAGAACTGCAGTTTTTTCAGAAAAAGGCAAGGCTGCATTTTATCATGATTGATTATCACACTTGATGCTTATAGTTCAGCTGAAAAAGCTTTCCGAAAGTGTTTTTTATAGTATACATCTTTTTTTTAATAGGTCAGCTGACTTTTTTCTGTTTATTTATTTTGTTTCTACTCAATGAATTGATATTTTTATCTTAGTCATGATGAATTTGGGTTTGCAAAGAAGATAAATACTGTGATTTTTTCAATTTATGTCATCAACAACCTCAATAATTAATTCTGCACTTAAGTACCAAATAAGAGGTTTTTTTTTCTGCAAATATTTTGTAAAATCTGTTGAATGTAGGCTCAATGGAAAAAATACTTGTCTAACAATTGGAAAGTAATGGCACTTACGGATCTTTGTATCAGTCTAAGTTGTGTGTGTGTGTGTGTTTGGAAATGCTGCTGGGTGAATGTGGTTCTAGTGTAAAATACAGAGGTCATAGAAACAGAAAAGCAGCGTTTAACTTCAGCCAATTTACCATATAGGTCGTAAGATAAGCCATAATGCACATATGTATCTCCATTACACATAGAGGGTAATATGTGAGGCCTTAATGTCTTCCAATTTCAGTGATTTTGGATTACAGATGACTACAAACATATATATATATTTGACAGTGGCCTTTAGGTCAACTTCAGTGCTGGGTCTGGTGTTACTTTTCTTTATTTTTATGTAGTTAGTGTATTATGGTAATTTAACCAGCTAACAGTACCTCTGGGGATGTGGGTGCCAAGTCCTGCTGGAAAATAAACCACTCAACTCTGAATGAATAGAGAAATCTATTTAAACATTATTAATCTAATAGTAATTGTACACTGTGAGTATCAGTGTGCATCCGACCCCACAACATAATGATTATTGTGTTAAGATGTTTTAAACTAAATGCAAAATTAACTCATGCTGATTAACTGTTATTTAAAGTGATATAAACTCTAAAGAATTGGAATTTCCAGGGTAATTGTGCAGTCTTTGTGGATATTTGCAGGTGCACCTTGATCCACTTTATTTTCCACCTAAAATAATCCATGTTTTAAAAGGATAAAGACCTCTGCCCCTTAGTCCTTCCCCTATTAACAAAGAACAATACAAACATTTGGTTACAATGTTTTGTTTGAATGAGCAAACAGCACAAAACTCAGTAAGGAGTTAAATTAGGCAAAAGGCTTTTTAATTAAATGTATTCCCTATTTCCTTAGTCACATTAGCAATTTCGAGAAAAGGTTGACATTTTTGGCAAAGTGTGTGTTCTTTAGTCAAACACTCCATAACAAGTTAAGGCTGACATTTTCCCTTTATACACACCAGCCACACAAAACAGTCCACCTCCCCTACCATACAAAGCAAGCGCCACATCTCTTTGATCATTCCTTTGAGATGTTTGGTTCGCTCCAAACCCTCTAATGCGAAAGGAGAGTCATTACCCCCTGACCCATTGTTGTCTTGTAAAAAAGAAAAGGCCACATGTGTATGTGTGTAATGGTGTCATCCTCTTTGATCTGCTCTTCCCGCTAATATAAATGTAACCACTTTTCAGAATACCAGCTGGTAGTGCACTTTCCTTTCTTCCATTTTCTGTACCCCATCTGGTTCTCTATCTGGAATTTATTTTTGGTGCATGGGTAGTGCTGCCCCATGTTCTGCGTCTTTGTAAAAACATGGGGAACTGAGTTGAGGGTAATGGAAATATGTCACAGAGAGATGCTTCCTAAAATGTCATTATGGCAGAGGAGGACATGAGTGCTTTGTTCTGTATTAATGATGCAGTGTGTTATTCCTTGACTACACGCTCTGTCAGAGACTCATAGTAGAAGCACATCCTAAAACCATCTATTTTATTTTGTTTTCACTAATGTCAAAGGGAGATAAAAGACAACAGGTATCTTGTTTTCTACTGATGACTCACTAATCTAGGCTTGCATGCAAACTTATATATTTGCCAAACAAAAATGACACTCGATGTAAAATATAGACTCAAAAAAATATCCACTCTCTGAGCACCTGAAATAGATTTTTACACTTGGTTTAAACAAAATCACTACTTCCATAAAATGTGGGGATGGAAGACTCGGTGGTGTCCCCAAAATTCTCAAAGTTTTTTTTTGCCTTACAGAATATCTATAACATTTAAAATTTAGATTAAGGCTTGGATTTGACTTAAGCTGAATTAATCTTTCCTTCTAATCTTAACCACATCTCTGAGCTCAAGGGTTTCCTTGTTTCCACAGTTGCTGTTTTTTTATAAACAATCTTTAAGTTGTGAGGCCTTCACAGAACAGCCATGCTGTAACACACAGGTCTTGATTAACACCAGCACTGATTAGTCTTTTGCCATTTGGTGACATTTCAACATATCTTTTATGAATATTTATTTTTCTTTTAACCTAATAAATGCTGTTCTCGATGTTATAAATGTAATGCTGCTCTATTTTATTTTATTTTCAAAACAATATATGGTCACCAGACGTGAAAAAGTTTGAGAGATATGAATACTTTTTACAAGGCTCTGTATCTTTACGGATGAATACATGAGGCCATTTGTCATTTTGCCCCAGTCCAGATCCTGACATGAAATAAGGAGGCTGTTGCTAGTGTTTCTTGTGCATCCATGAAAGGTCAGTGCCTCCAGAGCATCACAGTAAACATCCCAATTCTGCAAGGTTGAAAACAAATAGGGTGAGATTGTGTATGACCCATGGATCAACATTTTCACCTTTGAGTGTGTGACATTAACAGAAAAAGAGATAGGAGACAGACGAGATCAGGCTTGAGGATTATCATGTTACTACATGGAGAACCCACTGTGTTTTTTGTTGGAGGGAATGCTGTGTACCTGTTGTAACTGGTGCATGACTAGGAGGCACACACAGAAGTATTTGTATACACACACACATACACACAGCACCCCAATGTCACATAAGATGTCTGGGGTAAGCACTTTGGCTACTAAAGCTTTCAATTTTTCTCTATTGGACAAAGGGAATAGAAAAAAATGGGAGCATATTGTGCTATTGCTAGATGTCTCTCTTTTATATCTCTAAGCAATTCCCTCTAGTGATCCTCTGCTGCCTTTCTACTCTCAATATTTACTTTTGGGTGAGCTCCAGAACACTTGAATCATAAGCCAGCTGCTCTTTAGAAAAGGAATACTCCTGTCTAAGGATGAACTAAAACTCTCATCCTCCTCGAAAAGGCAGAAATACTATTATTGATGCACATAAAGGTCGAGTGCAGCTTATTGATTGTTGGAAGAAGGCTATGAAATTCTTCCCAAACTACCACCCCCACAATGTCAGTATGCTGTAATTTACCTCTCTTAAAATGTCTACTGTAAATGCATAAACATTACTCTCCAAAACAGACCTACCTTTTACATTATATCGATGTGATGCATTATGTTGTACTTTGCAATATTAAAGGGAGGTAAGGTTGACGGAGCACTAATGTAATATTGTGTTATACATCATCCAGGCCCAGGAGCCATTAATAATATCAATCCTGTATTAGTGGTTGTGTCTAAATTTGTTTTATGGTCACCTCGAATATTCTGCTGGTTAATTGTACAGATCTCCTAATTGCTAAGTGGCTGACATCAGGAAGACAAATCATCTCATGGCTATGAGATTTTGGAGGAATTTCCATCACACACTTTAAACAACTAGTATATGATAATCGGAAAAAGTCTTAATTTAATTTTATTCCATTGCTATTGGGGGTCATTATATAGTCATAATATGAAATGTTTTAGAATAAAAAAGAACAAATACGTATTTTTGCGGTTAGATCATTCCTGTGTTTTGCTAGATATGCTTTAGTTTAAACAGAATGTTGCATGAATTACCTTGAAGTGGATTTATCCTTTCGTCCCTCTATGTTGCAGATTCATCATATCTATGTGGAAATTATGAGAAAACGTGTTAGCAAATATGCACAATTAATTCAATAATATTTTATGGGTAAACGCATCTTTAAGTGTAATACTTCAAAACCAAACACCTTTGTAAATAAAATTGATTTATTTACTCGTTGTCCACGTGAGATGTGAGGTTGCTTGAGGACCTCAGGGATCCACAGAGCGTTCAGACAGTTTGAGGGCTCCATGAGTCCAACAGGGAGCTCAGGCAGACAAGCTTAAATGAAGACTGGCAGGCTTAGTGGTTAAGAGGCAGAAACACGATACAACACCAGGAAAACTCCAGAACTTTAAACCGGGTCCCTGCACTGAGCCAAAACAGGTACAAGGCTTACTTAGTAGATAAGGGCGAGAACTACAGAGCTTTAAACTAGCTCCTCCCTCGCCGAGTTAAAACAGGAACAGGACGCACTCAGCGGGTAAGAGCCAGGACACAGTCAGGAAACACCACAGCTAGACAAGACACCTTCTTTAACCACTGGTCTCCTAGAGTGAAAACATGAAACTTGGAAAAAACTCAAACTAACAAAAATACAAACAATAATCTTGCC